TTTTTAATAAAATTAAATATAAATGTAGAACAAATATAAATATTAGAGAAAAAACTGAAAAACCTAAATGTACTTTTTTCAGTTTAAGTTGAAGTACTAAAATGACAAAATTTGAAATATAAAATAAAGCTAAATAAGCAAAAACACAACCAAATTTTTTGACTAAATGACTAACGCACATAACAAAATTACTCAAATTAAAAAATTTAAATGAAACTGAGGTAACACTTTAGTATAGCGACCAATTCTCACTATTAACTAGTTGCAATAAGATATTGGCTGTTTATTAGTAATTCTAAAGCATATATTCTGCATGACCATATTATGCATCCCTAATCCTACCCAATACCTAAACTTAAAGGGGTCATATGATAATAATATTATTGGGTGTATTTGGTGTAATGAAATGTGTTTATGCGGTTTAAGGTTAAAAAAACACATTATTTTCCACATACTGTACATTATTGTTTCTCCTCAATGCCCCGCCTTTCTGAAACGCGTTGATTTTTACAAAGCTCATCGGTCCGAAAAGCGAGGTGTGCTGTGATTGGCCAGCTATCCAGTGCGCTGTGATTGGCCGAATACCTCAAGCGTGTGACGGAAATGTTACGCCCCTTACCATACTGTGATGCCCTAATATTTGGGTTGAACTGTTCTGGAACAGTGTTGTAAATACAACTTAACCACTGATTTCTAGTCGTGTCCATTTTTGGAAGGCCAAACAAAGTAGTTTCGCTTTCACAACGAAACACAGCGTCACAGGCCGCGGGCTAGAGTGAGGAACGGCCGGAGGGCTAGAGTGAGCGGAGGCTGGCGGGCTTGAGAACAGCGCAGCTGGCGGATTCAACGAAGGAGAGTCCGGAGGGCTTGCAGAAACCACATGTGATGACCCCGGGCTGTTCTCCACTTCGTCCATGGTGAAAGCCTATCCGGCGATCCACAGCGCGAAGTATTTCCTCAGCGACCAGCACGGATCAGCTCTAGGCATGATGAAGCGGATATCGTCCTCTTTTGGAAGGCCAAACAAAGTAGTTTCGCTTTCACAACGAATCACACAGCGCCTTCACGACATGGCGGCGGCGGCAACAATACTACAGCGAGAATAAAAGTTACGCCTTCTTTCTTTTGTGGCGTTATGCACATCTTCCCACATCGTGACGTAGACATGTGGGGGCATGTTAGAACGAGGTGTTTTAGGTAGGCGTGGCTGACTCTTGACTTTTATAAAGAATATCTCTTTGGATTTGAGACTTTAGTCTTTGCAACTTTACAGATCTCCTTTATGCACCAAGAGCTTGTAACACTCCAAAGAGAAAGGAAAAATTGAAATCGCATCATATGGCCCCTTGAACAACTACCTTACTAACTATTAATAAGCAGCAAATTAGAAGTTTATTGAGCGAAAAGTTATAGTTAATGGTTTGTTAATAGCGAGAATTGAACCTTAAAATAAAGTGTGACTGTTACCGAAAATATCAAAATAAAAGCTCTTTTAAAAATAGATGAATAATATAATAGTATGTATATAATACTAAAATAACACTGAATGATAGTATGATTTTAATTTTCACTTTAAGGCAGAAGCTGTAATTCCTTTGCAAAATTGTTTAGATGTGTCATGTATGTGGATAAGGTATTGGTCTGTTTTTCTGCCCCCTGCCAAACGTGCCTCGGTATCGCTTTCCTTTGACCATTAGAGGTGTATCTCAGTCCAATTGATGAACCTGTTGTCAAGGAGATGTGGTTTGGCAACAAAGACCCTCAACGCATCCTATCGATCCGTTTACATGAATGGGGTCTTAAAACTGCCACGGAAATAAGGGAATTTGTTTCCCAAATGACTTGGAAAATCCTGCTGCAGAAAAGCAATCTTTTTGGAGATGTAATGAAGACAGACCATGGAGAGCTCTGAATATTAATGTACATGCTGTTTCAGACGCTACGTTTGATCTATCGCTTAAAGATTTTAGTATGCGCCCTATTCTGTACTGCAGTTGATTGCATAAGAAGTGGATGTAGAGAAATTCAATTTTCTATGAAATCATGATATCAACTGTGGGAAATGTCACTTTTTATTCTTTTTAATATTCTAACTCTATAGAATCCTAAAACAGGTTTGTTTTAACCAATCAGAAACGCTTTGTGCCTGTCAATCATTTTAGTTCGCTGAGAGGGCTTTTAGGGGTGGGGCTTAGGAAAGGGGGTGGAGAAAATAGATGGAACGCCCACTTTTCACAATCCAATCAATATCAGAGGAATAAACTCAAGTTATTTTCTCATTTCACTCAGTAAAATAGGTTTCGAATGCATTTTTTTTGTCAATTTCAACTTCTTTATCTAGGTACACTCTTAAAAATAAAGGTGCTTCACGATGCCATAGAAGAACCTTTTTGTCAAAATGGTTCCATAAAGAACCTTTAACATCTGAAGAACCTTTCTGTTTGACAAAAGGTTCTTTGTGGCGAAAGAAGGTTCTTCAGATTACAAAAAAGGTAAGAAAGAGATGGTTCTTTAAAGAACCTTTGACTGAATGGTTCTTTGTGGAACCAAAAATGGTTCTTCTATGGCATCGCTTGAAGAACCTTTTGAAGCACCTTTATTTTTAAGAGTGTAGGAAAATTAAAGTGAAATGAAGACAGAAACTTCACTGAAAATGACTGATGTATTTTAATAGAACCATGTCAATATAACACCGACAATATTGGCTCATGACTCAGCATGGAGGACGAGATGTCTTTCTTTAATTATTTCTTCTCTTATCACAAACAAAACAATTAAAAATTTAATGTGCAGCTAAATTGAATAATGAACCAGGCAGGGGGAAAAAGAACGAACTAATAAGTATGTCGCTATTTTATCTAAATAGAAGGGGGTGGGTGCGCTAGAAGAGGACAGTCTGTTCTCTCTGTTGTTGCCATGGTGTTCGCCTGACGCGTGGCATAATTCATTATACGGCGGTTAATTAACAGTCCCCAGGGCGACGTTTTCCACAAAGTCACTGTGGAATTTAATTGCGTTGCATTGCGTTCCTCCGTCAGGGAGAAACAGAATGCAAGGGAATTGAATTCAAAGAGTGCTTCAATGAAATCTAGCAATATTCTTCATTGTTCAGCTTTTTCTTACATGAAAATCTGCGGGGGTTTTTTTTTTGCACAATATATCATATACAGTCAAACCAAAAATTATTCATACACCAGGTATAATTTTTGATATATTTTTTATATCACTGTAGTTCATTTATGTAAGTGAGCATAGCAAAATAAAGTAAACTGTGACATTTTATACCCAAAAATTCTTCGTACAGTGGAGTACCAGTAAAATTGATAAACATTTGGGACCAAAAATTAATCAGACACTTTGATCTGATCATGTTTTGCTTAAGTGTTTTTTCTTTAATTACTAATGCGACCTTTTTACACCACAGACTGAACAAAATTAAGCATTGCTTGGTAATTGATTGACCTAAATTTGTATTATCTAATTGTGTACTTAAATTTAACAGCTGACAGCTATTCAACCTAATTCATTAAGATTAATTTGTTCTGACACAGTTTAACTTGTCATATTTTATTACCATTTTCTAAACTATAGCGAATAAACTGTAATAATGTGAGAAATGTTGAAGGTGTTTTTTAAATCAAATTTCATAATTTCATAAAATTAGTACCTTGACTTATTAAAAAAAAATCATGCTGTACATTGCGTATTGGCAAGAAGTTAGATTTTTTTTTGTCGTTTAGTTTCTGTTTTTGTATCGTCACATTTGGTTGCCACACCCACAGTGAAATCTCATTGGTCCAAAAGCTTGCACCATGGAATATTAATCATCAGTGATGTTCTGATTGGCTGTGATTGTGCCACAACTTCCATAAAGTTGTTTTGCACTTCTCTATGTTTAAAAGAAAGAAAGAAAGAGAGTGAGACAGAATATGAAATCAAAAACAATGGGGGAGCCAGAAACTAACTCAGTTAAGATGTTATGAATTATGCACTTCTACGATTCCCTGAGCTGTTTTTCTAAACCGTTCTGAAATGCCCCGCAACTGCACCTGTTTAATATTCTCTCGCTGTGAAAATGGAATTTGCACTTGAGTGGATCCATGTTTAGAGCTCTGGAATGCTGCTGTTGTGAGCTTTGACTTCTTGCCTGGAAGCCTTTGTTGGAACACATGGGGCTATCTGAACGTGATGGGTGATTTCCACTCACTTACTCACTTCAGAGGGAGTCATTTCAGTGAAATGCCACCATTACAGCTTGTGAATTTGAGAACAAGTTGTAGTTGTTATGCTGCAACAACTGTAGCTTGTATCAGGCTGGTCATTACTAGAAAAAAAAGTACGAAATAGTATAGTGTTTCTTCTGATTATAGTAATTATAAATATTACATAAAACTAGCAGTTAACGACTATTATAAGACAGACAGACAGATATATAAATAGACAGATAGACAGACAGACAGATAGACAGATAGATAGATAGATAGATAGATAGATAGATAGATAGATAGATAGACAGACGGAGGGATGGATGGATGGTTGGAAAGAAAGAGAAAGAAAGACGGACAGAGGGATGGATGGATGGATGGATGGATGGATGGATGGATGGATGGAAGGATTGACAGACAGAGAGATGGATGGAAGGAAGGAAAGAAAGAAAGAAGGATAGAGGGAAGGAGGGAGGGATGGATGGATGGATGATAGATGGATAGATAGATAGACAGAGAGATGGAAGGAAGGAAGGAAGGGAAGAAAGAAAGAAAGAAAGAAAGACGGACGGAGGGAGGGATGGACAGAGAGATATAGTTTTATTAAATGTACTATAAACATTTATATTTGCAATATTTTATATAATTTTTATAGTTTTTTTAAAATAATAAATTTATTATTAAATGTATTAATTTTATTTTATTCTTATTCAGGCTATCATATAATTAAACTTATTATGAAGGAATCTCATAACAATCTGTGTCTGCTGTCCTGTGATTGATGTTTTGTTACAGGAGATGTGGGGAGAGATGGGCTTGGGAACAGATGGTCGTGAGGACGTCGAGACCAGCAGCGGCGATGCAGCAGAAGGCAGCGGCGAGTGCGATGATGAAGACGGCTGTCAAGGATCAGGCCGCAGTGAAGACGAGACAGGTGAGTTCATTCGTCCCCTGCATCGTGGCTCAAAGACAACTGTCTCTCTGTGTTTACTTGATCCAGAGCTCCCAGGAGAGACGTCAGTCTCACGTTGCTTAGAAACCCAGAGCCATTTACTGTGTCTCGTGTTTGTTTTAGGAGGTCAGTCGCTTCTCGTTATTTACACTGCTGATCACAACATGGCCATTCGGACCGATATTGTTCCCTTCAGATGATCTGTTCCAGCTCTTGTGTGCCCAGATATCCAATTCCTTATTTAAATCAGTAAATGTAACTTGCAATAACTTTAATAATAATAATTCTCAAAGGGCAGTATTAATTAATTTGCAAATGTAATTTGTTTTAAGTATAAATCCAATTTAAATGAGGTTTATGGTGTGTATGTGTATATATATATATATATATATTAATCCCAATAAAGTAAGAAAATAAACTTGTTTTTTTCTGGTTTCAAGCATAAATCAAAGCAAAATTGAATGAGGTTTATGTTAATAACAATCAAAAATAATTTCCCAATGTGGTATGAAAAATTAAGTTGTTTTTTTTATTTTTTTAGGCATCAATCAAAACAAAATTGCATAAGATTCATGGTCAAAATAATTTTTAAATACTAACAATTTCAAATGTGTAAATGCCCACATTTTTCTTGTTTTTGAAGTTTGGTAAACATAAATCAAAGCAAAATTGAATGAGGTGTCTGAAAGAAAGAAACAAACAAGCAAAAACCTTCTTTTAAGCATAAAACTAAACAAAGTTTTATATCAAAAAGGTTGCCAAGTAAAAACCTTCAAGCAAACAAACAAAAAACTCAGTTTCTCAGTGTTAAGAAAAATAAACTTTTTAAGCATAAATCAAAGCAAAACTGAATGAGATGTATGTTAACAAACAAACAAACAAACAATTTACCAGTGTGGTAAGAAAAAGAAAGTTCTTCTTCTGTTGTTTTAAGCATAAATCAAAGCAAAATTGTATGAGGTTTATGTCAAAAAAAGAAAGAAAGAAAGAGAATGAAGAGAAAGAAAGAAAGAGAATGAAGGAACTTTTAAACAAAACTAAACAAAAGTGAATTAAGTTTATATAAAGTTTTCCCAGAAATAAACCTTCAAAATTCTAAATAGATTCTCTGAAACCCAGTGTTGTCTTACAAACGTTTACTTCCACACAAAGTAAAACATTGAGGTTGTTTTCAGTTTACTATATTATTTGTATAATTTTATATTATATTCTATCAATGAAAACAAACGCCTTATAACAAGTAAGAAAGCTTAAGATAGATCTACTTTGGTGTTCATCGTAGATCTGTGCTCTACTCCACTAGCATGCTGGATGCACTCAGGGACCGGACTAAATAATGGATTTCACCTTATAATAGATTAAAAGAATTGTGTGTAGCGAGTTATTGCCCCATTTTTCAAGGAGCGCCCGCCGTTCTTTTATTCTGTTGCTCAGGAGTCCGCCCTTGCCGCTGCTTCTATAAGGTCATACATCTTTGTCCATTGCTCTCAGATACATTTCCAAATAGCATCCCTGCTTTAAAATTTCTAGCTTTGTGCTGATTCAGTTGGCTGAGGCTGTGCTTTTGTGACATTATTCTGTAAAATCATTCCCAGCTCTTGATTAAATGTATTTCTTCAACTATGGGCACTTTTGTCTTCTGAAATAGTAGAAAATATAGTCATACACACACACACACATACCTTTATATTTATTATATATTTATATAATAAATATGTATTTGTTTATTTATTTATACTTTTACCCAATATATAAATATTATATTTACACATATCGTAGATATATATATTATTTATACTTATTATACACTTTATTTATTTATTTATTTATTTATATTTTTACTCAATATAGTGTTATTTCTATCACATCTCATATTATATATTGTTACATATTTGTTTATTCAATATACACAAATAAATAAACATTTTCACACTTTTATTAGTATTGTTTGGAAAAAAACAGCTTAATTGGAAATGGGAAATAATCTGCAATAAATATATCACTCATCTTGGTTTTGTTCACACATTTTTAGTGGTTGTTGTATTTTGGTTGATTTAATTAAATTGATACATTTATTTTAATTTACCGTTTTTATGATATTTGTATTAAGTACAATGTTTTGTTTTTATTTTTAATTGTTTATTTTAACTAGACTTTTTTTATAATTGAGCTTTTAGTGTTTTTTTGTTTGTTTTTTTATTTCAAATATATTTGTATTTTAATTTATTTATTTTTTAAAGAAATGTATTTAAATTGAAACAACCAAAATAAAACACTAAGAATTAAATTATAAAAATGTAAAATTAAAATGTATACTAAATAGAAACAAAATATGTATTTTCATTTGTATTATTTTTTTATGAAGTTATTTAATTTCTATTTTTTAAATATATTTATTTTATGATAAAATTTTAGCAAATGTTTCATTTTGAAAGTTTTTTTATTTTAAAATGTATTGATATATTTTAATAATAATTTTATTAATTATTAACATTTCATAAACTCAAAAACTCCTCATGAACCCCAGGAATTTGCAAAACCCAATTTGGGAAACTCTAGCTTGGTTTATCATATAGTTTAAAAGTGTAATACAGTATATTTTTCTGATGGATTTTCATAGTTTAAGATTGCAAATCCATAAAGTCTAATTTGAAATCCATTTAAAAAGTAGAAAACCTACATTTTTTGTAAATAAAAATCAGCCCTTGCGACATAAAAGTGTATTTGGAGAGTTAACAAAACTCTTCAACTCTTCAGAAACACCAAACAAAGAATGACTCTGATCCAACACCAATTCCCTTGAACGTCTTTCGATTTCATACTGAAATGAAGAAGCCATTTGACAATTGTCTTTCCTCCATCATCCACGATGACAATTTTTCAACAAAAGCTGCTGAGGATGAATCACAGATGATAACAAATTGAGAAAAGTTATGGTTAATTCTTCAGGTAGCCTCACAATTTTGAATCTGTTTTTTTCTTTTTCCAATGCCAAATGCCCACCAAAATGAATTCCTGCTTCTGCTGTTATAAATCCCTCAAATCCCTTGAGTTGATGAAAAACTGGATTGCTGAATGACAGCGCATCTCATCCGGGGTCACGGAGGTATAGTTTCCCCTACAGCAACCACAGAGCTGGTCACAATCAATCAATTATTCATTTGGCAGGAAACGGTTCATTAACGGAGACTAGAGCAATATGATCCCAAGCGCTCTGGCTCTCTGTCGTCTTTCTCTTCATGCTCCATGTCTCTGTCCAATGATGCTGAGATAAGCACACCGACACAAGATGTGCAGTTCGTATTGTTTGTTTTCGTCAAGCGAACCTCAACGTAATTAACCGTGACTGCGACACACACAAATAAGCATTGGTGCAGTTTCACCTCGGCCTCGGATGAATAGAGACCAAAGCCGAAGTCTGTTTTCATGTGTGCTTCCGAACGTGGGATGGGAATGTTCTTTTTTTTTTTTTTTTTTGTTTCCTTTTTTTTATCTTCTATAAATTTTCCTTTTACAGTTTCTCGAGACCAAAGCCGAAGTCTGTTTTCATGTGTGCTTCCCAACGGGGGATGGGAATGTTCTTTTTTTTTTTTTTTTTGCATGCGCCTCTTTTGAGATCCATAAAATTCCTCATTGATCGTTTCCTGCAGAACCCCAGAGATTCAGATCTGAGACGTTTGCAGCCGCTGTCTGCGTCAATAATGCTAATAGAGTTCGGTGAAGATGGAAACTGTCATGTTTAAACTCAAGGCCGGTTTTCTTGAACCATATCCCTTGTTACACTCAAAATTATTTTATTTGGAGTCGAGGTGGGCTTTGTATTTGAATCCATGATGCTTAAAATCTGAGGCAAACTTCAGTTGTTTTGTATTTAGGGCTCAGGAGAATGGAAATGGGACATGTTGCAGGCCAGACTCGAACCTCTTGACCTCATGTCAGAAGCATGTGGGTAGCTGATGCATAATGACCTTTAAAATAATACTTAAAAAATAGTAAGAATAATAAGAATAAAAAAATTAAAAAATTAAGAATTTAGATTAAAAAGTATATGACTATGCAAAGGAAGTGGTGTATTTTTTTTGTAACTGGTCACATAAATGTTTTCGAAATTTTTAATGACCTGTTTAGTGGTCATGTCATGTCAGAAATGTAGATTTAAAAAAACTACAAATATTTAATGTGGACTCTCATCGACTGTATATGAGATCATTAAGGTTGCATGCATAATAATTGTAATAAAGAGAGAGATCTAAAACCATTTAAAACATTATTTTAATTTTTATAAGCATCATATATTTCAAAATTGTATTTTTTTATTATTGATTAATATTTATTATTTATTATAATAATTCATGTATAATTTTAAAATTATATTCAATTATAATTAGATTTAATATACATTTTATTCATTATGTCTATATTTTATTCATTATGTATATTATGCTTGCATGCTCACCACCTGATCCCTGAAGGGAGTAATGGGAACTTTGGGCACACAGCCTGGCTGGGGCCTCAGGATTACCTGGGAGTCAGCCAGCCCAAACTCCAGGCACGATTCGTCGACCAAAAATGCATGCAGGTCCCCTACCCTCTTGATGGAGGGCAGTGCAAGCAGGACCAGAGTTTTCATTGATAGAAACTTCAACTCAACTGACTGCAAAGGCTCAAATGGGCCCTGCTGTAGTGCTTTGAGCACTAGAGACAGGTCCCAAGAGAGTATAGAGGGGGGCCGGGGAGGATTTAACCTTCTGGCCCCCCTAAGGAACCTGATGACCAGGTCATGCTTCCCAACCGACTTCCCTTCCACGGGGTTGTTGTTAGCAGCAATTGCAGCAACATAGACTTTAAGGGTGGAGGGAGACAGCCTTCGCTCTAAACCCCTGCTGCAAAAAGGACAGCATGACTCTGATCAGGCATCTTCGGGGGTCTTCTCGATGAGAAAAACACGACTCGATGAACAGGTTCCACTTCAAGGCGTAAGC